AAAAAAAAAAAAGAGTTGGGGTTTCACCATGTTGGCCAGGCTGGTCTTAAACTCCTGACCTCAAGTGATCTGCCTGCCTTGGCTTCCCAAAGTGCTAGGATTACAGGTATGCGCCACTGTGCCTGGCCTAATTATAAAGACATTTCAGCAACATGGGAAAGAGTTTTAAGAAACAAAGGTAAACAAAGCTAAACACAAAATTACATGTTAATATACTGAATGACCAAATACAGAATTGATGGGAGGAGAGAATGAGGTGATCACGATGCAAGGTACTAGGGAAGGCCTTTTACCTTTTAAGATTTCCTTTACATTAAAACATTGCAGGTTTTTAAATATTTATACCGTGTGTGTGTGTGTGTGTGTGTGTGTGTGTGTGTGTGTGTGCGCGCGCGCGCACGCGCGCGTATACACACACATTCAATACATAAGAATTGAAGACCAATAGCCAAAAAAGTGTCTTTTTTGGAGACAAGGTCTCACTCTGTCACCCAGGCTGGATTGTAGTGGCGCAATCATGGCTCACTGCAGCCTCCAACTCCTGCACCCAAGAAATCCTCCTGCCTCAGCCTCCTGAATAGCTGAGACTATAGGCATATGCAACCATGCCTGGCTAATTTTAAATTTTTCGTAGAGACAGGGTTTTGCTGTGATACTTAGGTTGGTCTTAAACTCCTAGGCTCAAGCGATCCTCCTGCTGTGGCCTCCCAAAGTGCTGGGATTATAGGCATAAGACACCATGTGCAACCTCAAAATGTCTCCTTTAAAGACGATTTCGCTTCTGCACAATTCAGAGGGTCACAGAAGGCAGGCACCCCAGCATGTGTGCTTGTTGCCCGGAATAATGGTCCACTTTATCACTTTAGAACAATCAACCTTTGCTCCCTGTGTATAATGATTAAATGTATCCACCCATCCTGGTATTTCTTGTTTGGTTTCCTAACAAGAAAATAAAATTTGGCTCTGAAATTTTTTCTTAAATGTTATTTGCAGCTAAAGTATTTCTTCAATGGACATTAAGAGGTCTGTAAAAGAAAAATGCTAGATTCCAGTGTGACTTTAGCAACTTAAAGTCAGAATGTACACATCACAAACTGAATTTTTAGGTATATATGCTACTTTCTTTTTTTTTTTTTTTTTTTTAAGACAGTCTTGCTCTGTCATCCAAGCTAGAGTGCAATGGCATGATCTCAGCTCACTGCAATCTCCACCTCCTGGGTTCAAACAATTCTTCTGCCTCAGCCTCCTGAGTAGCTGGGGACCACAGGCGCCCGCCACTATATTGGCCAGGCTGGTCTTGAACTCCTGACCTTGTGATCTGCCTATCTCGGCCTTTCAAAGTGCTGGAATTACAGGCATGAGCCACTGCGCCTGGCTGGTATATGCTACTTCTTAAATGGGAAACAAAACAGTAACCTTGGGAAGAAAGACTTCCCAAATATAACAACAACAAAGGAATAAAAGCAAGAGCTCACCGAGAGTTGTTATGATGAATATTGCATGCTCGGGCCATTAGTGCTACAATAATTGGTCGAAAGGCTTTCCCTTTTCCATCAAAGTAGTACTCAGACATTTCCTTAAGTTCTGATGTTGATATGAGCAGTTCCTGAAATAAAGTTTCTCTGTGTCACAATGGCATCAAAACTGCATAGAAAGTCAACAGGATTTCTTTTTTTCTTTTTTTGAGACAGAGTTTTGCTCATGTTGCCCAGACTGGAGGGCAATGGTGCAATCTCGGCTCACTGCAACCTCCAACTCCCGGGTTCAAGTGATTCTTCTGCCTCAGCCTCCCAAGTAGCTGGGATTACAGGCGCCTGCCACCACCCCTGGCTAATTTTTTGTATTCTTAGTAGAGGTGGGGTTTCACCATGTTGGCCAGGCTGGTCTCAACCTCTTGACCTCAAGTGATCCACCTGCCTGAGTCTCCCAAAGTGCTAGGATTATAGGCATGAGCCACCGCACCCAGCCAATTTTTTTTTTTTTAAAAGACAGAAAAAATGTCTTGCTCTGTCACTCAGGCTGGAGTGCAGTAACAGGATCATAGCTCACTGCAGCCTCAAACTCCTGGACTTAAGCAGTCCTCCCACTTTGGCCTCCTAAATTGGTGGGATTACAGGCAAAAGCCACTGTGCCCAACCATGTGAGGAACTACGGCAAGTTTTCAGGAAAAAGAGTTGAATGAAAAATGCCATATTTGGGGCTGTCTGGCATTCAGAATTAGATAAGGAAGAGACAGCTGGAGTCACTGGGAGGTGGTGGGTTTTAAGAGGAAAGGTGGGATAACTCATTGGACAAGCATGAGCTACCTGGACCATTTTTTTTCAGGTTCCCAACCCTGCCATAACCTCTTACTGGACATTAGCACATACTGCATTTTTCATATTGCCTGGCACTGGGTCACATGTGGTTCTTGCTCAAGAAACATTTAAAACTTGACCATACATGAGCCAAAACTGCAAACCACATTGTATAGCTCTGAACACCTGCATTGGTTTTTCATAATCCCGGCACTTCGGGAGGCCACAGTGGGTGGGTCACACGAGGTCAGGTGTTCCCGACCAGCCTGGCCAACACGGCGAAACCCCATCTTCACTAAAAATACAAAAATTAGATGGCGCACACCTTTTATCTCAGCTACTCAGGAGGCTGAGGCAGGAGAATTGCATGAACCTGGGAGGTGAGGGTTGCAGTGAGCTTAGATTGCACCACTGCACTCAAGCCTGGGCAACAGAGTGAGACTCCATCTCCAAATAATAATAATAATAAATATAATAAAATTTTAGTAAGTTTTAGTAAAACATTACATTACAGCAGAATAAAAAACTCACCTTTCTAATGTCCTCATACAGACCTTTCAAGTCTCTCCAACCGAGTTTGAAAGGATCGGTGTATTTCTCACCACTGTGTGTTTTACTGTCTGGGGTTGTGTGATGAAACCTGGGGCATGCAAAAATGCACATGACTTCATTTTCAAGTAAG